ATTTTCTTCACACATTCACACACTCAATATTGCTCTTTTTCTGAGCCTCTCCTCCTCAGATACTTTCATTCACACAAGTCTTACACACAAATTCTGTCTCACACACACTCAATCACACAGAATCATAGAATTGTAAGAGACATCAAGGGCCATCCAGCCCAAACTGCTGCCATGCAGGAATACACAATCAAACCCCCGACAGATGGCCATCCAGCCTCTGCTTAAAAACCAAAGAAGGAGACTCACCACACTTTGAGGCAGCATATTCCACTGTCAAACAGCTCTTATATCAGGAAATTATTCTTAATGTTGAGGTGGAATTATTTTTCCTGTACTCTCTTCATCTCTTTTTTAACACATTCAGATATGTACTTGTGTATACTCACATATACATAAGAGAATGAAAGTTTCTGTGTGATTGTGTGTGAAAGAGTAAATGAGTGTGTGAGAATGAAAGAAAGAATGAAAGAGTATGACTGAGCATGTACATATCTGTGAACATTGGTGTATGTGAGTATGGCTATATGAGAGACAGTATGTGTAAAATGTACACATGTGTTGAGTTAGATATTGAATTTATTAGGTTATTTATTCTACTAAAACTCTTCTAATTTGAACAATATGATTTCCTTATAAAATGTGTTTTACACACACACACACACACACACACACACACACACACACACCCTATAACCCAAAGGCATGCTGGGTAGGGTATAAGGCAAGGTTAAAGGAGGGTCAAGAAGAGAGTGACATGGAGGCAGCAGCCCCAATTACACAACTGAGAAGATGTTTGGAAATGGCTGTTTTGAAAGCAGTATGTTTGCATTTTATTTTATTATTTTACTAATGTGATTGCTGCGAGAATCTCGTGTGGTAAAACCCTAAGTTCAAATGCAATCTTGCCCAAAGCAAAGAGTAAACAGGCACTATCACTTATCACACAATGTAACTTCTCACACAGTGGATTTATCAAAAGTTAGGTTTGTCCTCAGCACACAAGGTGGTGCTGCATTCCTTTCTGAATTGTGGTCCTTATATCATATCTTGAATGCAATAAAAAATGACTAAGCCATGCTTGTGGAAAGCTTATCTACTGCTGCAACAATCTCAGTCTTCTCTTGTAATAATCTAAGATGAATGGTAGAACAGTGGCTTGTAAATAAAACTGAAACAAGAAGAGCAGGGCTGATATCCTTACACAACCAGCTCTGTACTTAATGGGATATTTTGCATTGAGTGGGAAGTTACACAAGGCAGGAGGAGCATGCCTGTACTATTTACCACCTTCTTATCCTTTTGCAAATTGCACTCACTCCTTTTGAAAAAAAAACTCCATATGAGGCTACTTTCAGATTTCAAGAGAAAAAGAAAAAAAATTGGGCATAAGTAAGGGAGGGAGAAAGAACAGTATATAATAAAAAGAATTATTTCCCCCTTCAGGTCTCTGTAAAAGCAATTATTATTCGATGCTGTGTGCCTTCAAGTTATTTCCAATTTACAGCAACCTCTAGTGAACCTATCACAGGGTTTTCTTTGCAAGATTTGTTCAGAGGGGATTTTCCTTTGCCTTCTCTGAAGCTGAGAGAGCATGGCCTGCCCTAGGTCATCCAGTTTCCATGGCTGAGCAGGGATTCAAACCCTGGTCTCCAGAGTTGTAGTCCAATGCTCAAACCACTACACCATTCTGGTTCCCAATTCCCCATTATTTGCTATTTATCTGCAGTGTTTTGTATGCATTCTTTTGGTGCTGTTTCCTATCAGCCTGAAGAAAGCCTCATGGGAGCCCACTCTACTATAGGTTTCTGCTTTGCTCAGAAGATGTCTTCCTCTAAATCCTGCACTAAAATATATATTTAAGGGCAATAATACTAGTGTATCTGGAGATATTAGTGAAACATTGTTGGTTCTCCTGAAGCTATCAGTAGATTTTTCACATCACTATCCTTAGTATCTGGGAGACTGTTGATTTTGACTGAGGTTTGAAACAATTTTGAAAGTTGCTGCAAGGCCTCCTCAAAGTTTTGATATCCAGTTTGCCGTTTCTCTTGGGCTCAACAAAATCATTTGAGGCACAGATGCCATCAGTGGCCAAGAGTATTCCCTCCACCATCTTTGCCTGAGCTACAAATTGTTACTGTAACTACAACTTGTTACAGTGGTGGCGAATGGCATGCATGCCATGGGGGCACTCAGAGTCCTCTCTGTGGGTACATGCGCTGTCACCCCAACACTGCACTCCATTTTGAAAATGGAGGCACTTCTTCCTCCTTACTCCTCTTCCTTCCCCCATGCACCTACCACACCATGTCCTCCTTGTCCTCCTTTCTCCTCCCTCTCTTTCTCCCCTTCATTGGTTGCATCCTCACTTTACAAAGAATCCAGGTTGAAATTGCTTTAACCACCATGGCTCCATGCTATGGAATCTTGGGGGTTTTGTGAGAGGTTTGGCCTTCTCTGTCAGAAATAATAATAATAATAATAATAATAATAATAATAATAATAATAATAATAATTTTTATTTATAGCCCGCCCCTCGAGGCGGGTTACAGCATTAAAACAAACAAGTTAAAACATTCCCACATCCCCTAACCCTGCCCTCCCAAACCCCTTAAAACAGAATTAAACTAGGAAAGATTAAAATACACATTATCCATTTAAAAATAACATTAAAACACAGCACAATGGGAACATAACAATAATAATAACTGAAGTCACATCTCCCTAAAGCAGATGCTATTCCGGGAAAGCCTGCCGGAAGAGATCCGTCTTTACCGCCTTTTTGAAGGCAGTAAGCATAGTAATAAGACGGCCCTCATCCGGCAGGCCATTCCAGGTCGCAGAGAAGGTCCTCTGGGAGGTCTGCGCCAGTCTAGTTTTTATTGGCTGTAACAGGTTCCTCCCAGAGGACCGAAGGGCTTGAGGGGGGGTCATATGGGGAGAGGCGGTCCCTAAGATAAGAAAATTCTGGAGCCACAACCAGGGTGACCAGACACATCCTACATTTCCAGGATTGCCCTATATTCTAGCCTTCTGTCTGGGAGGGATTCCCAAATGTCCTCAACTTTGAGCCTCACTAAGAAGCAGGAATTTCTATTTCTAGGCAGTGTTTATACTTTTTGTTCTGTAGGGTCCTACCTTTTTCTTGCAGTGTCCTACATTTTAGGTGATCTGCTCTCAGGGTGACCAGAGGCCCTCCTTTTTTCAGGACCTGTCCTACGTTCTAGACTTCTGTCTAAGAAGGATTACAAAACCCCCTCCTTTTTGAGCATTGCTAAGAAGCATGAATTTACATTTATACGAGTGTTTTAGCTTTTATTTGATCATGTCCTCCATTTTTCCTGAATGTCCAGCATTTGCAGTGCCTTGCCCTCAGGGTGACCAGAAGTCCTCCTTTTCCAGGACCTGTCCAACATTTCAGCCGCCTGTCCAGGAGGGATTCCATAATATCCTTCATTCTGAACATGACTGAGAAGCATGGAAGTGTATTTATATGAGTGTTTTTAGCTTTCCTTTTGGAATGTCCTCTGTTTCTTGGAATGTCTTCCATTTCATCATGCCTTGTTCTCCTTTGGGGACAGGACATCTGGTCACCCTGCTTTCACTGGTCTCATCTTTTCTCCCCCTTGGCTGCATCCACACTGCAGAAATAATCCACTTTGGCACCACTTTAACTGTCTTGGCTTAATGCCTTTGAATTCTGGGACTTTTGTGAGTGATTAAATCTACTCTGTTTGGAAAGCTGTAGTGCCACAACAAACCACAAGTCCCAGGATTCCATAGCACTCAGCCATTTTCATTAAAGCAGTGTCAGTTTGAAGAACTTGATCCTTCCTGCTTACACTAGTTAGATTTAGGAAATCTGAAAATTGACCTATTGGAATTTTAAGAAAGCTCTATCTGGAAATATAAATTCTATCATTTGCATGAAACACTTTAGAAGATTGAAAGGATGACAAAGGACAGCCACAGTTAGTTCTGAAAATGAAATCCTTAAAGTATGGAATTCTCTGCCAAATAATAAAAGTAAATGAAAGCACTTGGGATTGCTTTCCTTACTTTGTTTGGATCATCTTATGCTTCTGAGTAGTTGTTTTCAGCTTTGAATTATGTCAAATCTGACACCAAAAACAGACTAACAGATGACTTGAGTACTGCATGTGTTGCTCTCTAATTCACAAAAAGCCAAGGTTAAACAAATTATCAGCATGTATACAACAGCAAAAATCACATTAATAGTTCAAAAGCATGCCGAATGCAAACTTTTACCAAAGATACAAAAA